AAAGGTTGATTTCTCTCTCAAGCTGAAAGGCTTGCCTTGATCAAGGCTACCCTCTCCAATGCCTCAGTGTACCAAATGTCCCTCTGCCACCTTCCAGCCTCAGTTGTGACCAGGCTTGAGAAGATGATGCATGTCTTCTTCTAGTTGGGCAAAGGAGGCCACAAATAGGACCTTATATCGTGGCCTAACCTGTGCATGCCCAAAGCCAGAGTGGTTTGGGTATCCGTAATCTCAGATCCCATAACAGTGCTCTTGGCAAGTGATGGTGGAGGTTTGCCACTCAACCCAATCAGCTCTGAAGGGAAGTTATACGTCACAAATATTGCGATGATGTGGACCTTTGGGCCCCTCGTGCAGGACTACTAGCAACATATTCGGCTTTTGGAGGTCTCTTCTCCACTGCTGGGATCTTTTCCTTTAACTCATTCGGTTCAGGCCGTGAGAGGGGAACATGGTTCGCTTCTGGTCAGATATGTGGTTAGGTCACACACCTCTTAGGGAACAGTTTCCCAACCTCTTTTGCTTAGCTCGCGATGCTAACTCAACCGTGGCAGACAACTTCAACACCATGTACTCAGCTAGGACCTGGTCCCCTAACTTTAGAAGGAACATTGCCGACCATGAGTTGGGAGAGTTCTTGGCTTTAGCTGACATTCTCCACTATGTGTACCTTCCCCCGGCAGGGGAAGACAATGTCATATGGTCACCAGCAGCCTCAAGAAAATTCTTGGTCTCCTTTCGTCCCCCTCAACCTACCCGATCACAGCCCATCACCTTTGTTATTTAAGGTGTGGACTTCTCCCCCTCCCTCCAAAGATCCAAGTTTTCAATTGGATTGTGCTCTATAAAGAGTACTTCCCATTGATCAAATTAAAAAAAGAGGGGTTCCTCTACCTAACCGATGCGCTGTGTTGGGAGGCCGAAGAAACAAATGAGCATCTTTTTATTCATTGTGAGATCGCTAGAGCTCTCTGGAGCGACCTTTTCCTCCTATTCAACTGGTCTTGGGTTACTCCATAATTGCCCCCCAACTTTTCCAAGTCTCCCTCTTCATCCCCTGGCCTGAGGCAAGAAAAATCCTTTGGAGGTAGCTGCCACTCTCTGGGTTATTTGGCTAGAGAAAACAACAGGATATTCAGGGGCTACGGAACTTCGATGTTCTCATTGGTTGATAGAGTCAGATTCTTAGTTTTCCTTCTGGGCCAAAAGCCAGAAAATTTTTAGACTTCTCCTACTCAGATCCTTATAGTAATTGGCATTCTTTGTTGATTTTGAGACCTCCAAGGGTTTCTCAGGCTTCCCTTTGGAGGCCACCGGAATTAGGAACCTCCAAACATTAAAAGTTTATAAACGATGGGAAAAACTATATAATTGGGAGAAGGCTATAATGATGATGAAAAGATGTGAAAGACTATATAGAAGATGTGATTTTGAAAAAAATTGATTTTTAACTGGAATCAATTCAGAAAAATCTAGAAAAAGAGAAAGCAGAAAACAAAGCATATTATTATAAAACTCACAGATCATCATTAAAAAATAAAACCATATATAAACATAGTATAGTATAAATTCTACACATTTTTCTAGATTTCCAAGTTTGTACCCAGGAACTCAAGTCACGAGGGTGCCAATCCGATCGGCTGAGTCTGAGGCGACTCAGCTAATCTTTGAGCACTGCATACATTAAATTTTAAACCGAAATCTATAAATCTAAAATCAAATTCCATTGAAGAGAAAAGAAACAGAGATAGAATGAAGGCGTGAGACTGGAAAATAGATAGCCATGAGGTAGCAATTCACATTACTTTTTTCACATTTGGGTTTCTTTTAAATCTGGCATAAAAGGAAGGTTCCCTTTCTAGTTTTTTTTTTCTTCATTTTATTAAATAATAGTTTGGTTGGGATTGAATTTTAATTGAAATTTCTTATAGAAAACTTACATTTTTATTTAAAGAATGCTTTTCAATATTTTGGATGGTTTTCGGAGTACCTGTCTTTCCAAAAATGAACTAAGATGGTCAAGGCAAACCGGGTTTTGATCATACTGAAACTTGATCTGATTTTGGATTTGGTCGAATTGGCCTTGTTGAGTCATGGTTCAGCCCATTGGCCTTTTGAGCTATGGTCTTTACTTTTTGTTTTTTTTTGGTTAATTCAGTGGGGAAGACAAGCCCCTACCCGTTTTTACAATTAGTTTGGGAGTCAGTTTTTTGAAGGTATTGGTGGGGTGGTGTCAGTGGGAGTGGAAACCACAACATGGTGACTATGGTGTGGGGGTGCTACCGCCACAATCCGAGCCCCTTTTCCACTATGATCTTTACTGGTTTAGGCGTTTTGTTTATCTATAAATAAGATAGCCTATGAATAAAGGCTTGCATCCTATCAACAAAGTTTTGCAGTGCAATTAAGAACTAATAAAGTAGGCCAAATTTGAATGGCCAAAGTCAATAACTAAGCCTATCCATTGGATGGTAGGCTTGGCAGAGGTTCCCCAAAAATGTGCCAAAAAAGGCAACAAAATATCTTGGCTGACTGTAGATCAGGTGAACTGGCCGGCCCATCCCATTTGCTTCTGGCTGTTTCAAACCATTTTCCATGCTTCTTCCTTGGACAGGATCAGTTTTAGGTTCAGCGTTGGTGTAAGTCGGTCATATTGACCAGTCTGGACCAGATTTTGTAATACTGCCTCAAACCTCCTAGACTTTTTGTCCATGCATGAGCCCCAGCCCCATACTTCTTTTATCTTGTACTGAGGAAAATCAAGGGCCCAAATTCCTTGAACATAAATTGCCAAAACCACATTGTGAGGGCATAAGAAAATTTATTGAAAGATGTATGCTTGTATTATAGTAATCAATAAATGCCCCCACAAACCTTCCTAATTCCAGAGGTGACATGCTAGAAAAGTTATTGAAGGATGCCATGCATTCCCCCCCCCTTATTTTTTTGAAAATGAATGCCTTTATCCTTTTTTTTCTTAGTAAAGTATTTGTCAAAATGGAGAGAATTAGATCCGGAATCCTGTCTTCTGAATATTTTATTTCCATTTGACTTTGATGTGAATTAGGCATGTGCTGGGTAGGGTAGAAAAAGACTCTCCCTCTATGGCGCATGTGCAAAGCACTTAATGTGGCAATCATGGGCATCAACTCACATATGTTACAATACATGGTTCATCCGGCATGTGTGAAATGAATGATAAATGTTATATTAAAGTCAAAGGATTCAAGTGGAAGTGCATTTATCATTCAGCGAGGCTAAACTAAATAAATAATTTCCCTGTGAGATGGGATGAGAGAAGTTGGAGGAAGAAGTTGGCAAGGTGGTTGAAAGTAGGGGATAAGAATACCAATAATGAACAGTAATTAATATTTCTCCAACCAAAGGGAAAAAAAACCCTATTAGGAATAAATAAAGAAGGGAATAAAAACACTTTACGGACATTTTAGCCTATGTGAACCTTCCTTTTTCTGTTTTTCATGGTTGATGAAACCCGATGAAGGGACTTTTCGGAAGAAAATGAAATGAGGTATCTATGGCAATTGTAGTGGTCCTTGGTGATTTTAAATGTTAGGTGATGTTTGATTTTTTTTTATCCTGATAATACGTCCTATTTTTCCCTCAAAAAGATAATACATTTTATTTTGAATAGTCATTGGACGAACTTAAGTGAACCCAATTGTCGATAACCTGAGTTGCATGTTGCAATTTCTTTTGAATCTATTTGGAATGAATTTTAAGGGCTCAGTTCTCCATTTCATGTTGTTATGGAGCCTCTTTTTTTCATCAGTCCAGGTGTTTTTTTCCTACCCAATTTGTTTGAATAACTGATGTAAGAAAATCACTAGAAACTGGAAATATATGTTGATATACAGTAATTATATTTTAAATGGAACTGCATCTAGGAGTGGTTTTCGATTTGCAAAAATATGAGAGTTATCTTGTGAAATTACATGGTGGCATCTGTGCTGTTCGATATTTGTACTATGATAATCGCATATACATATTTCTTTTACGTATATATTTGTTGGAAAAAAAAACTTCAGTAATTATATTTTAAATGGAACTGCATCCAGGAGTGGTCTTCGATTTGCAAAAGATATGAGTTATCCATCTTATGGAATTACATGGTGGCATGTGTGCTGTTCGATATTTGAACTATGACAATCACATTACATATTTCTTTTATGTTTATATTTGTCGGAAAGAACTTTGAAATTAGTTGTTGGCTCATTATTTGGACGAAAACTTGGATAAGAAAGGAAAAAGCTGGGAAGTGAACCTTAGCTTTACTATTTGGAGAAACAAAAACCAAAGGAAAGGGGATACAAAATAACAGAGCTAGTAACTACCATGGTTCTTGTGTGTCATGATCCCTTTGGGTGAATGAGTGCCATGATTCTTATGAGTTATGATTTGATTCAAGCAGCCTCCCTATGCAAATGTCTATTGACTTGGTTAGGTCTCCTATAAGTCAGCCATGTTCTTATATATTGTATGGAAAACTGAGAGTTGTCACAATAAAAGAAGTACCACAATATGCGAATGTTCAGCTAGGTTATCGCTTGCTGCTCTGTTTTTAGTATGTCACCTCCTCTTTCATATTTTTCAGGCCATCTTAAAGTTATTTGTGGATTGGACCTCTTAGCTTATCGAGCCCGTAAAATTCTTATACGAGTTGTTCTTAGTTGTTAGGTGATTATGTTCAGTGCAATACCGTGTATGTAATTAGATTGAATGTCACAGTAGGAATTATTTTGTTTCACATTCCCCAGCAAGAGGAAATCTTTGTCTCCAGTTTCTAATTTTTCTCCAGAGGTTGTAAGTGTCTGTATGTATGTACAGTGTTGCCCTTGTAATGCAGCCAATTATTTATCTACAGGATGGGGGGAGAGGGAGAGAGGGAGAGAGAGGATCCGTTATTAGGCATTTTGTGTTCAGTGAGTTGGATTTTTAGCTGGTGATCTTCCCACTAACTATTTCACCGTTCCATTCTGCAGGGATGGAGAAGAGCCATTAAATACCCGTAAGTTTGTTATTTATGCTATTGCTCTTTTCATTCACGCCTTCAAGGGAAAAGACCATCCCATTAAGTAGTGACATATTGTGCATTCAACAGATCAAGAGCTGCTTGGGCACCTCGCTGCATTGGGTGAATACTCACATGCTTCCTCTTCATCTACCCATGCTTGCCCTCATCTGGCCATGGATGGTTTCTCCCACCCTGAAATTCTACACCACAATTGGCAACACCACCACCACTCTTCTTCTACCCATTTCTCTCCTATGAGTAGCCAGGCTAATGTGCCGTCACAAGGGGTTCGTATGAATAATGAGATGGAAAGTAGTGCTCATTTAAGAGGATCTTCATTTTTGCAGCCATTTCCTCTTGGCCATACGTAAGTATCAGCACTATTCATCTAATTGCTCTTGAATTCTGCATTTTCTGATAACTGATGAAAAAAATCTGCTGTTTTTAATCATTAGATCGATTATGATTCATGAGTCATCAAATCCAGATTTTAGTTAGGTACCTTGTCGAGGGGGTATTCCCCAATGTGGCAATTTCTCGAAATTTATGAAAATCAAGCGAGTAATTCTCTGAGAATCTTGTCTTCATTAAGAATGGCAAGATCCTTCCAGCTTTTGAATCGTATCACCTCAAGAGATGAAAATTTGGTTTCAACTGGCATAAAAATTTGCTTGGCTTGAATGCCTTTCTCACAGGGGTTTGACTCCAATGTGAAAGAGATATGATTTTCACAAGGATCATTTCCCTCAGAATTAATTCTATAGTTTAAGATTTATGCTTATGTTCGTGTGTGGGGGGGGGGGGAAGAGAGAGAGATTCATCCATCTTAATTAGAACATTGAACTTGAGAACTCTACCTCACCTCTTGCTCTCCCTCTCTGAAATAATTGAGAATCATAACCCTAACCTTTGACTTATTTCTACAGATCGGGTCCCCGAGTTAGTGCAGCCTCTAACCCCCGGGCTCACCATGCCCGTGTCCATGCCTTCATTCAGCAGCAACATCAGCAAGCTGGCGTGGGTGTGGCCCCACCACCGGTTCATGGAGGTGGTCCAACCCCAATCTTCCCCCAAGGCAGAGGTGCTGTAACCCTAGTCTCGGCTTGGGAGAGAGAGCGCTATGCTCCTTTCCCGTGGGTCCCACTTGATGGTGAGTCCCATTGGCTTGGTGGGCCCTTCTATAACCCGGCTTCACTTCACCGTCTGGAGAGACCGGGCCACAGCCAAAGTGGCTCGAGACCAGAGGGTGCTCATGCTACCCAAATGACAAGAATGCACCCCTTCACATGACCTTTATTTTGGGGAGTTGTGTTGCTGGAACTGTAAACACCGGCATATAATGAGACAAATCGATATCCGAGAATAATTTGTCGGTGAGAATTTGGGTGGAAACGATCAAATGGGTCTGTGCGGTTTAATTTTGTTGATGGCTTTTTTCTTTGTTTTCTTTTTCTTTTCTATTTTTGGAGGTATTATTGAATTTCTTTCTTGAATGTGCTTTTTTTTTTTTTTCTTTTTCTTTTTCTTCTTGTCTTTGATACTGATATTAAGGGAATGATGAGAGGAGGATCTGGCGTTTTGCATGTCTTTGAGATGATTGGTTCGGCGTGCATCTTGGGAAACGTTGGGGCGATACTTGGTTTCATTAACAGAATAAGTTTTGCATTGGAGCAAATTAACAGAATAGGTTTTGAACTGGGGCAAAGTCTCCTGTATATATATATAATCTAGGTAAGGTATATCAAATTATCTGTAAGATATAAACTATTTAGCATTTTCCCGATATTTGATTTTATTTTAAAATACCAATGAAAACACAAATAATCATATGTCGATAAGTTGGAATAGTTGCAAATGTATAAAATGTTAAATAATGCAGCTTTTATAGGTATTTTGATCATTTTTCACATAAGCTGTCTAAGAGACGGATTAATTGGGGCCGCTATGATGAACAGTGATGTCAAGAGGGTGAGACCGAATTCATGATCAATTTTCTGGCCCAACTTTCCACTACAAGCTAACTCCCCGCCTTTATCCCTGCCCCTCCTAGCGTCTCTCTCAGAAGACTCTCACTTTCCCTACCAAATTCCTTGTTGGTCGCTTCCACCCTCCTAGGAGTGACTTCAGAGCTATTGAAATATGGGGGTGAACCTGAACTTGCCTGCCGTAGACTTTGCTTCTTTCCACCTTCCCTTATGAAGATGGTGCCCATCCGCTTCTCAATTGGCCCTCTCCTGTCTTCGAGGTGGTGGAACTATCCCTCACCAAGTGGAGCAGAGCTTACGAAGCAGGTTGGCATGAGTTCAGTCATAATGAGGCCAAGGGAACGAGTCTAAGGGAGCGGGACAAAGGGGCTTTCTCGGCCCAGAAGATGTGGCTGCAAGTTTCCAATTCTTTGTTTCTATCTTTTGGAAACACTCAGAATTTCTCCCCCTGGGGTCACCATTCCTATGGTTGGAAATGGAAAGGCAGTTCTAGTGCCTCCAAATCTCTCTTCCCCACCTTTCCATCACCATTTCCAGGCCCACGGACCTCCTGACTGTGTAATCCCTAAACATGACCGCAATGTACCAGTAGTCCACAACGAGTGGACCACAGTGAAGCGCAAAAACCGCAGGAGGCCCATCCCCCACCCCACCCCACCCCTCTGCTTCCCCCCTTCTTTGGACCCTTTCCTTCTACAGACTACAATGCCCCTTCCTCCAAACTCAACTCTTTCCACCTCTTGGACCTGCTTCCTAGCCCATACCGTTTTCCCATCCCAACCCAGGGTTCTACTCCCCTCCTCCGCTCGTGCCCATCCCTTTTTCCCTTTGGTCACCACCTCACCCCGCCCTTCTCCCCCCCTCGCTTGTTACTTAACTGGGAACACCTCCTAGCAGCAGCAGTGGTGCTCATCACTCTGTCTTGAATCCAGAGTCTGCCTTTCTAGCTTGCTCAGGCCCTCTGGTCCGCCATCTTGAGCCACTTTGGATGGTACTGGGTTACCCCTCCATCCATTCCTTATGTCTTCCAGCACCTTTTCTCCTCTTTGCTCAAACTGATGCAACTCCTCTAGAGAACAGCGGTGTTTGCCCTTATTTGGAGCATATGGATAAAGAGAAATCGAATGATCTTTTTCACACAAGAAAATCATCGACCTGCTTATTTGCTGGGCCAAGAATAGCAAGTTCTTTAGGCTCGTTTCTTACTTGGATTTCTTCTACCAATGCGGCTAGAAAGTTCCTCGCTCTTCCCTTTGGTAACCACCCAACTGGATCAAATCAAACTTAGCTTCGATGGCTGCTCCCCGGAAACCCGGGGCCAGAAGGTGTCGAAGGCCTCTTTAGAGATCCGCGCATGCTGCTCTCTTACTCCATACATACATATAGGTGTCGTGGATTCTACTAAAGTTGAAGCCACTGCTAACCCCACTCTTGGCAACATTTCCTCATCATTGAAGGGGATAACAAAAATGTTTCAGCATGGGCTCGCCCGCCCGCCCGCCCTTGGAGACTTCATCACCTCTTTGATGAGATCTCCCATCTTTGGGAAGGCTCACAAGTCTCTTGGAGAGATACACCACGGGGAGGGTAGCTAATTCTGTCGCAGATGCTCTTGCAAAAAGCCGGAGCCACCCAATCCACAATTTTGCCCTCTACAACTTGACTTTTTCTTTTCTTTTCTTTTTGTCCGATAAGTCGCAAAGGCCGGACCCACCCAATCCACTCCGTCCCAGATGCACATTTTCCGGACCCTTGAGGTTTTTGCACACGCCTTTGAACTCTTTTCTCTTACTCGATCCAAAAGTTAAAATAGTAAAAATTAAAATAAAATTGTGTCAAACAATATTTTCAACATGGTTTTTGAAAGTACAGTTTTCCTATATTACCATAAATCAGTCCATGAAATCACTCCTTTTTAAATTTAGTGATTCTGAAATAAGCCGGTAAGGAAGAAACAAATGTTCAAGGTAAATCTGACTGATTCTCTTATGAAGTTTTTTGATTGGTCTCATAGCCAAGTTTTATATTCACTAAAGGGTTGTGTTAGAATATATTACACTAATTGTGAATTTAGAATTTATTATTAAATTTTTTTTAACCATAAAATACCCTTGTATGTTCAAAAATCTTTTAAAGTTTTAAACTATAAATAGTTGATGTATTTTAAGAAGGGTATTCTTCTCCTTTTAAGGTCCTTCCAATACTCAAGTTCAAGTTGAGAAAACTTCCTTCCGCCTTTTGAATGGCGGTTGGAGTTTTTTGAGCAATTTAAAATTATAAAAATGCCCATTTTTTAATAATGTAATTTTGATATTTGTAAGGGTATTTTATTGTTAAAATTTTTGGAGTAGGATATTATAAATTCACTATTAATGTAGGAAAAGCTTTCTATGTTCCCCTACAACATAGAACTTCCCTCTACCATCCAGCCATCCATTTATCAGGAGAGCCACTCACCGTTTGATCTTAGATCCGACGTCTCAAAGTATTTTATTTTAGTTTTTTTAATACAATTTTTTTGATTATGAAATTTGGTACATGCCATCTTCTCATTGGGGCGCACCTATAAAAAATATTAACAATAAGTTTTCCAATAAAAATAATAACCAAAATACCCCTTGAAATTTTTAGGGGTATTTTGGTAATTGTAATTTATTGAAAATATTGTTTTTATATTTTTCGTTAGTGCGAGTTTAATATAGGAATGGACGTCCAAAATTTGGTGTCAAAATAGTTTATAGAAAAAAAAATTAAAAATAAATTAGTGTAGAGACGTAACATTGTGATTGGGGCAATCTTAACCCTCCATTAAAAAATGGACGGTTGGATAAGGGGGACCATAGAACTTCCATGGTGTAGGAGGAACATAGAAAGCTTTCCCATTTTCGTTAGTGCGAGTTTAATATAGGAATGGACGTCCAAAATTTGGTGTCAAAACAGTTTATAAAAAAAAAATTAAAAATAAAACAGTGTAGAGACGTGACATTGTGATTGGGGCAATCTTAGCCATCCATTAAAAAATGGACGGTTGGATAAGGGGGACCATAGAACTTCCATGGTGTAGAGGGAACATAGAAAGCTTTCCCATTAATAATGTAATATATCCTAGAATGTGCTCCCTATTGGATCTCAACACTAGTATATTTCCATATAAACTCCTCTTCTATTCTCTCAATTGCTTGGGTGTTTAGAATGAAGCACAAGCCTTAAACCAACGAGATTACATAATTAGATGCAAAGTGGCAAAGGTCACAAATGCAAATCTGAATCTACACTGAAGAGTGAAACAAATCAAGCAGACGAGGCTCTATTTCTCGCCCCTTAGTTCTCTTTTTAATGAAATTAGAGTACCAATTTGCAGAGAGCCTGGGGTATCTCTTTAAATCCTTGTCTCCAAAATCCACATGATATAGACCATATCGAAACCTGTAACCTTCCAAGATCTCGAAAAGGTCGATGAACGACCATACAAAGTATCCCTTGGTGTTGGAACCATTTCTGGTACACAAGGAAAATATATTAGTGCATGAACAAGAAAGTCTTCTCTCTTCATGACAGAAATGGACACACATGCCAGAAGGCTTTTCTTAGTTTTTTAGAGTAAGTTGAGTCTTTCACAGAGAGAGAGAGAGAGAGAGAGAGAGAGAGAGAGAGAGAGAGAGAGAGAGA